CTCCTTAAGGGGACACTTGGTGCAATCCTGGCCCCCTCCCCCAAAGCTGCCCGAGGTCCGACCTCAGACTGAAGCGTACCTCCTCCGGAGATTTTCGGCTCTACTTTGCGGAATCTCCCTCTCCCTCTCGCGTACCCATGGGTTCCTATTCAGGACGGGAAGCAAGATCACCCTTTCTTCCCTCTTTCCCCTTCCTCTCGGCACCCTGGGATGACAGTGAGGTTTCCAGGGCGGGGGAAGGGGGAGCCTTTCTAGTCAGCTCTGCTACCTTCCCCAGTGAGGCCTCAGGAATGGGGTCCCAGCAGCTGAATCCCCGGCGCCGCGGCGCGGACACTGCGGACGCGCTGCGGTGGGTGCGGAGACTCGCTAGGAGCCCAGGGGCTTGAAGCAAGTCCTTTCGCTGCTCTTGCTTTCCGCCGCCCTCCTCCACGGTTTCCCTGCTCCGAGGTCTTTGGGGCCAGCCACCCCCTCTGGCTCCCAGGCCCCCCGCCGCCCCCCAGCGGTCTCAGCCATCCATCACGGCTGTCAGCCGCCCCCACCCCCCACCCTCCAGCGGCGCTGCGTCCCTTGCGCACTAGCGCGCCTCCCGCTCCGGCTGTCTGCGCTCCGAGTCTTCAAACGCTCCCCTGGGCATTGCTTGACCCTCTAAGCTGAGACTCGTGCAGACCTCCCCGGGGGATGGCCAAAGAGACCCAAGGATTGAAAGAGCGGGGTCTTCCAGGGACTGGGAGCCTAGACTTGAAGTGTTCCGGATCTTGGATCCAAGTCAGAGCCAAGTGGCCGCTTGGGAAAGCTGTGGACACCAGGTTCCCCAATTCTTTGTCTAAGACCCCCTTTTCCTCCCTGAAGTTGAGTGGTATACAGAGATTGGAGCCACTGGCTGGCCAGCTAGCTCATCCATCTCTCCGGTGACCTGGGGGTTGCCTCATCCAACAGCAGCCCCCCTCCCCAACAGGGAGGCTTAGGCTATGGGGGAAGAGGGTTTGGCAAAGTCGAGTCTGCGGCAGATCCAGGCATCCGGATGCGGTGCCCAGGGGACGAGTTGTGTGTGTGTGTGTGGGGGGGGGTCATTGCCATCTGGGATCCCCTTCAGATGCCTTCAGTCTGAGGACAGGGGCTCAGCCGGAGAGATAATCTCTGCACCCCCACCCCCCGGCACAGGGTATTGTCCAATCCCCCAGCCCTTGCTTTCTCTACCCCTAGGTTTTTGCATTTCTGGGTCTTGGGGTTTCCATGGGGTCTCAGGAGAGCTAGAAAAGAGCATTTATGTGTGTGGAACAGGAGTCGAATGAGGAACTCTCTTTGGTTCTACCCACTCCCCATTAGTTTCTAGACTCAGTGTAGAGGGTCTGTCTCCAGACCTTCTCTCTGTGTGTAGGGTCCAGGACCTGGAACTAGAGTGGCCAGGACCTGGGTCAGATGTTTGGGTTCCCAGAGAGAGGCAGACTCCCAGCGATGCCCCAAGATGGTCATAGGGGACCTAAGGACCTGCTGGGCTTGAGGGAAGAGGGTCTATCAGACCAAGAGCCTCTGCCATCTCTGATCTTAGGTTCTTGGGGATGTAGGTGAGGACCTGGGTACTGACCTCAGGGAGGTGGTACTATCCCGAGGGGTAAGAGGACTCCTCCGGACTAAAGAAGAATCCTCTCGACTAAAGAAGACCCCTATCCCCTTGGGGTCTGACGCCCTCCCCCACTCCCCAATCTGGCTTGGGGATTCCCCCAGGCCTGGTCCGAGGCCCCTGAGGGAGGATCCTTAGCCCGCGCCGCTCGCCTGTTTCCTCCCCTGGAGCTCTGACCGCCGCAGCTTAATTGAAAGCCGATTCGGGCTGAGAGCTCCCAGGGGGCGGGGGCCGGGGCGGGGGCCAGGCGGAGAGGGCTCAGCCTCAGTCTGGCCCTGCCTCCCGCGCGCGCGCCGCTCGCCGGTACCCATGAACCTGCGTCCTGGCTCTGAGGATTCAGGGCGAGTTCCCCCGGCTCCTTTGAGAACTCCTGAAGCTCGCCCCTCTCCCCGCAACCAGTGCGCCCGCCGTTCCAAGGAGGGGACGAAATCAGCCCGCGGCAGACGCGGCCGGCGGCCTGGCGTCCCGTCCAGATGGCGGGTGGAAGGGCGGGACCCAGGACGAGCCTATCGAGCCATCCTCTCCCCGGCCCTCCGCTCCTAGCTGGGATCCGGCCCCGAGCCTGGCTCCGCGCTGCGCGTCGCGTTACATAAGCGGCTGCGGGCGCGTGGCCGCCTCGGCTCGGCGCTGCGCTCTCTGCCCGCGCGGTCGCCATGGAGACCGGCGCGGGGCTGCCTAGTAGCCGGATCTCGGGCCAGGACGCCTGCCTGGCCGCCGCGCACCGGCCCCGGGACCCCTGGAGGGAGGAGGGGCTTGGGAGGGGGCGTGAAAGGCAGAGAGGAGGGGCTCCCGTGTCCGGCTGTTCTCGCCGCTGAGCGGACGCCGCCGGGAGGGGCACCCAGACCCACAGGGGACTTAAATCTTGGGGCTTGGGGAGGGGCATGGGATGGGGACCCCGGTCTGAGTGGAGCACCAGATACATGAATAATAATCGTACTCATAATAGCCCCAATGGTTCCGTTTATGTGCCAGGCACACCCAATACGCATTATTTCCCTTAATCCTCAGGACAGCCCTGTGAGTTAAGCACAATTATTATCCCTTTGCAAAGGAGGAAACTGAGGCTTAGAGAGTTTAAGCGACTTGCCCAATATGTCGACACAGCCTAGAAAGCTGGAACTGGAGCCTAAATCTTGACCCCAACCCTCTTCCTTAACCATCAAGAAATTTGCTCTCATTCGCCTCAAACCCTCTTGTGCCCTCCATAGTGTGGTGAGAATCTGAAACATCTTGTCAGCATTTTAAAAGGAGGAGGAACCCACTTCTCTTTTTTCATTTCTCCTGTTCTCTGGCCACAGACAGCTCTTCTGAGACCCTGGGGGTCAGGAAGGGAGGCTGGGGGAATTTACCTCCGAAGACTCCCCCCCCCCCGGAGCATTTATTATGTGCTAGGTTCTCACTGTGGGAAAGGTCTGTCATTTCCAGAAACTCATATGTAAGAAGGAAGAGGTGATGGTGCCCCCCCGCCCCCGTTTGGGAATCAGGAGTTCCTGGCCTGATGGATGAGGTGGAGGTGGGGGCAGGAGAAGTTGTCCCTTGATTCGGTGAGGCATCTCTTCCCTCTTCCATGACTTTGAGTCAGGCTGAGATTGGACTTGTAACAGGTTGTGCTCTAGGGATGGACCCCTGCTGGGTGACTAAGGAAGGTTTCCAGGAGGTAGGAAGAAGGATGGGGAAGGATTTGGGAAGATGGAGGTGGAGAGAGACATGACAGGAGACGAGGGGACAGGAAATTCAGAATACATAGGGCCTCAACTTCATTCGGGATTTATTTATTGGAGAGTCTCCCCAGGGTCTAGAGAGATGTCAGCTACTGGGATTCAGCCCTAGAAGTGAGAAAGGGTGCTGACTGAAGCCAAGGTTAAGTGCCTGTGGGGGTCTCCTACATCTCTTTGAAAGGACCTCTCCTAGGTGTCCAAGAGCTTTTCTCCTTGGGTGATCTCAGCCAGATACATGGTTTCACACACTTCCTCCACATAGTCTCATGGGTTACCGTCATCTTTTCTCTGCCCAACCTCTTTCCTGGGCCCCAGACTCTGTATATCCAAGTGGCTTCTGGACATATTTGCTTGAGCGTCCTATTCTGCCCTACTGTTGATTGAATTCAGCATCTTCCCCACCCTCCGTCTCTTCTCTGCCCCCGTTTACTAAATAGCACCATCACCCACCCATTAACCTATGCAAGAAACCCAGGCATTTTCCTTGATTCCCCCTTCCCACATCCCCAAACATCTGGCATAGAAATATGCGCCAGTAATTCTTGAGTCTGCCCCTTGCCCTGCATTGCTCTGGTCTGGGTCATCATCAACCCTTGCCTGGATTGCTGAAAGTCTCAAACCAGCATCTGTGTTTCTTCATCTAAAGGCCAGAGTGGTTGCTCTAAAACACAGCTCCCTTCATGGTACGTCTTTGCCTGAAACTCTTCGATGATTTCCCATTGTCCTCTGGGTGAAGGCCCAAATCTGTAACATTGTCTACTAATCATTTAAGGACCCAGCCCACACCTTCGGAGGCTCATCTCTTCATAGGTCAGTCTCCACGTTTCAGCCCCTCTCTCCATGCCCTTTCGTCAGACTCAAGCCGGACCAAACTTCTTTCAGCATCTCTGACCCACTCTGTTCACTCTCCCCTCTCAGCCAGCGAACATGCTGTTCTCTGTGCTGGAACACCCTCCCTCCTCCCTCCCTATCTAGCTCTTACTCATCCTTCAGTTCTCAGCCTCCTCGTCACTTCCTCTGGGAAGCCTTCCGTGACCTCCCAGGATGGGCTGAATGCCTCTCCTGTATTCCCACAGTCCCTTGTTCATCTTCTATGACAGAATTTACCACTCTGGGTTGGAAATTCCCACATCCTGGTTTATCTCTCCTGCCTGTGGGTTCCGTGTGGCAGGGATGGTGTCTTGGTCTGTGTTTACTCCCCCCTCCCTCCCCATGCCCGTATTGGCACATGGGAGAGAGCCAGTGAATATGTGTTGACGGAAGATACATGAGGAGCACAGAAGATGCCAAATGGGTCACTTCTCCAAGAGGTGGAGTTTCCTTTGGGCCTCTGGCTGTAGTGTTCTCTATCTTTGCCTCTGGGAAAGAGCATGCTTCCATCCCAGAACACCAGCAAGGTCCCAGGTATGGTCAAGGAGGGGAACCTGGAGAATCTAGGGTGTCCTGGTGAATGGAGAAGGACCCCCAAGGGCAAGGAAGCACTCACATGTTCATTAAAAACTGGGCTCTTTGTACGTGCTGTCCGCTGAAACAGCTCGGCGGGATACCGTTAGCTCCGTTAAACGGAGGTTCAGAGAGTTCAAGTGGCCAAGCAGCTGGATGCGCGGGCAGAGGGATGACAAGCAGCTCACGCCAGACCCCTGGCTCCTCTGCCTTCTCAGGTGATGGCAACCCCAAGGAGAGCAGCCCCTTCATCAACAGCACTGACACAGAGAAGGGAAGGGAGTACGATGGCAAGAACATGGCCCTGTTTGAGGTGGGTTGCTGGGGCGCGCCCCCCTCCCCATTTCATTTCCCCGTTCATCTGCCATCCCTCCCTCCCTCAGGAGGTGTCCTCCTCTCCACGCCCTCCTCAAGCCCACCTTATTCTCCTTCCCGTCACCCCTGCTGCTCCTTCTCCTTATCCTGCCATGTCTTTCCCTGTTTTCCATGCTTGTTCCTCCTCTTTTCCCGAGTCATCCCAGCCCCCGTGGTTCAATATCCTTGACCCCATCTCTCCCGGCCTCCTACAATGTAGCTCGCCTGTCCCTTCCTTAGGACCTTGTGTCTTACCACTGCCACCCTCCCTCTACAGGAGGAGATGGACACCAGCCCCATGGTGTCCTCCCTGCTCAGTGGCCTGGCCAACTACACCAACCTGCCCCAGGGAAGTAGGGAGCATGAAGAAGCAGAAAATAATGAGGGTGGAAAAAAGAAGCCAGTGCAGGTGAGGGCCTTGGGGAAAAAAGGATGAGGGAGGAAGGAGGGGTGGTTGAGAGAGAGGATGGGGAGACAAAAGAGTGTCCATTGAAGCGGTGGATGATGGAGGCAGAGAGCTAGGAGTTAGGGGGTAGAGGGTGAGGAGGGGTTGGGGGATGAGGGATAGAGATAGAAGAAGGAAGGGAGAGGGAGAGGGGTTGAGCACCAGAGGGAAGAGGGATGAAGGGGTGGGGGTGGAGAAAGGCAGAGAGCGGGGGTTGGAGAAAGGGGAGAAGGAGTGGGTCTGGGGTGTTGGCGGTGATTAGGGGCTGCAGGAACTGACGCTGGCCTCCTCGGCAGGCCCCACGCATGGGCACCTTTATGGGCGTGTACCTGCCCTGCCTGCAGAACATCTTTGGCGTCATCCTCTTCCTGCGACTCACGTGGGTGGTGGGCATCGCGGGCATCATGGAGGCCTTCTGCATGGTCTTCATCTGCTGCTCTTGTGTGAGTGACGCCTTCCCCTCCCCGCCCCGGGACCGCTGGGCCAGAGCAGGAACCTGGGGTGGAGGGGAGGGAGGCGGGGAGGCATGAGACCTGAGCTTTTTATAGGAACCACTGCGTATGAGCTTTGAGAGTAAATTAGGTCTGACTGGTCCTTCCTGCATCTCACAGGCTGCTCCCCGATGGCCACTAACCAGGTTTCACCTGGATCTGTGTTTGGGTGTGTGTGTGAGTGAGTGTGTGTATAATTACACAAGTAATGCAGATTCATTGATGAAAAAGATAGGCATAGTGAAGGAAATCAAATCCTTTAACCTGGAGCCTTGAAAACCACAGTCCTTAACATTGTGTTCGCCCCGGGCTCACAAAAAATGGCAGCGTGGGTCACAGACAGCTTTGTAACAGGATCCTTTCCATCCTCCCTAAAATATCAAATATTCACCGAACACCTACTTCTCGCCATGTTTCCATTTCCTCGCACGCGGCCCAAGAGCCACCTCTGCGCGTGTGGTAGCCAGGACTGACGCTAGTACCCGTATTTTATTTCTTTTTAACTTTTATTTTGACAGAATTTCAGACATGCGGGAAATTTGCAAGAATAGAACAGACGTTAACCTATTATCGTTTTTATTCCCTTCTCTAAGTACCGTTTTCGCCTTGAATTTGAGAGCAAGTTGCAGACATGATGCCTCTTTATCCCAAATCCTTCAGTGTGTGTTTACTAAAAACGAGGACATCCCCTTACATAACCACAGTGCGATGATCAAAACCAGGCAATAACATCGAGACATTAACGATGTCTTAATAGTGACCCCTTAATCATGGTTTAGCAGCAGGCCTCATTCAGATTTTGCCAATTGTCCCAATCATGTCCTCTGTAACCGGAGAAAACTCAAGATCACGTTCGTATTCATTTATGAGCTCATTTTAGCCTCCATTAATCTGGAGCAGCGCTTCCTTCTTTGTCTTCCATGGCATTTCCACTCTGGAAGAGCATGGATCAGTAAGTCTGTAAAACGTCCCTCAGTCTGGGTTTGTCCCACATCTGCTGAGGATCAGATTCAGCATGTGCCTTTAGGTAGGAAGACAGCACGCCTATTTTATCGATAAAGACACGGAGGCTTAGAGAAGTGAAGGGACTTGTCCCAGGTCAGACAGCTGGTCAGAGGCCAAACTGGGATTTCCAGAGCTCTCTGATGAGCACAAGTAGCTTGTGATGCTTCCGTGTGCGTGGTGAATAAGAGGTTTTCTTGACAAGAAGGACTTGGCAGGAGTAGAAGTTGGAACACGACCAGGGAGAAGCTCAGCAAGGACTTGTGGGTTTGGCAGGTGTTTATGGGGTATAAGGTTTGGCCTTTACCCAGGGCACTGCGGCCCCTGCCCTAGCTGCCACTCTGATGATCTCTCTCCTGACAGACAATGCTCACGGCCATCTCCATGAGTGCTATTGCAACCAATGGAGTTGTACCTGGTATGTGATGGGGTTTCTTGGAGGGGGAAGGGGCCTGGATGTTTGGGAGGGTGGCCTGGATGGTTGGAAGGGGAGACAGGGCTATAGGGTTTATGGACCTTCAGGACCAAGAGAGACAATACTGCTAACCTGGGGGCTGGGCTGTGATTCTGGTGGGGTACAGGGGGGCAGTGGTATTAAGGGGAAGGTAGGGAAGCTGTTTATGGAGTTGGACAGGGCGATGCCATATCTCCCTTTGCCTGAGACCCTCCTCTCTGTCATCCTATTTTTCTGAGCCATGACCTCCTTAGAGGGGTAATTAGCAACATGGTAATTAGTGCAGCAAAATCCACTCAGAGTGGCTGGCTTAGTCTCCCACCAGTCCTAGGGCTGCAGCCTGTAAGGCGTGAGGCCCAGAACAACTCCTTTCTCACCTCTGTCCCTGAGCCCTCCCACCCCTAATGGCAGCCCAGCTTCCCTCGAACGACTCGCTGACACCAGGTTCTTTCTGCAGCTGGCGGCTCCTACTACATGATTTCCAGGTCTCTGGGCCCAGAGTTTGGGGGCGCCGTGGGCCTCTGCTTCTACCTGGGCACTACCTTCGCTGGGGCCATGTACATCCTGGGCACCATTGAAATCCTGCTGGTGAGAGGGGTCGAGGAGGGGGTGTGGGGTTCCAGGCTGTCAGTCAGTTAACTAATGCTCCCTGGACACCCCCTAGGGAGAGATCCAAGCCACTCAGTGAGGCCAAAAGGAAATCAGATGTGGTTCTGTCTTTTTTTTTTTTTTTTAAGATTTTATTTATCTATTTGACACACAGAGAGAGAGATCACAAGTAGGCAGAAAGGCAGGCAGAGAGGGAGGGGGAAGCAGGCTCCCCACCGAGCAGAGAGCCTGATGCAGGGCTCAATCCCAGGACTCTGAGACCATGACCTGAGCCAAAGGCAGAAGCTTAACCCACTGAGCCAGCCAGGTGCCCCCATGGTTCTGTCTTTCAAGAATTCACAGTCTAGTTGGGGAGACAAGATACAGTAATTACGTAACCGAACAGCTGCCGTTCATCGGGCACCCACTGTGCTCTCAGCAGAGTTCCAATCGCTTTACAGTCATTTTCTTGAATCCTCGTGAGGTTTAAATATTATTATGCCCATTTTACAAACGAGAAGCTCAGAGAGGTGACGACTTGCTCAAGGTCACTCAGCTACTAAGTAGCAGAGGTGGGTCGATAAGAGTAGAATCGTGGTAGGAATAATAAAAAAAAATAAAACTAATGTCACACAATAGCTGCATCTTGGTTGCCTGCCGCGTGCCTGGGACTGCGTTGGCTTCCCAGTGCGCGTTCACTGTCCAGGGCCGGTGTCCAGTAGGTTGCGAAAGAGAAGAAGGATGTGAGGGAGCCGAGTAAAGAGACCTGTTAGGAGTAGTGACTGATGAGAAGAAGTCAGGTTGCTGGTCAGTATTTGAAGGGGAGGCTGCCGATGTGGGTCTTGGCTCTTTGGGCCCCTCGGTGAAGAGGTGGGAGCTGAGGAGGGTTGCCTGGTACACAGAAAGTGGGGCTGACATTTTCCAAGCCCCTACCATATCCAGGCTCCTTGGCCTGCAATTTCTAACAACAGTTCCATGAGTTAGATAATGTCCCCATTTTACAGATGAGGAAAGCAGAGTTCAGGAATTTTAAGGAACATGTGGAAGGGATATGGAGCTGTGCCTTTCTGACCCCAAAGCCAGTGCTTTTCCACTTTATCACACTGTCTTGGAGAACAGAAGCTAAAAGATGCAGCGTCTGGTTTGGGGGCAGAATGGAGGAGTATGGGGACAGAGAGGATGGATGGTGAATAAAAGACCCAAAGAGCCACATTCTGAGAGGATAATAATAGACTTCCATGACTTAAAAAATTAAATAATTTAAAAATTTTTATAAAAACAGTTCTGCCCATTGGGTAAAACTGCCAATATATCAGAGAACATAAAAAGGGAAATAATAATTGCCCGAAGAAAATCACCATTAACATTTTGGTGTATTTCCTTCTATTTTTTTTTGGTTTGTTTTACAACATGATATTGTATTTTGTCTTTGTAAAATAGATCTGTATGGGTTTCCCTAAATAATTAGAAGCTCCCTTTGTAAATATCATTTATAAGTGAAAATAACTTTTCTAAGAATAGCAACATATTAATATTTGGTATGGAAATTTCAGAAAATACACATGTGCAGAAAGAATACAGATGATCACATCTCCTCCTATCAGTGGATGTCATTTCCAGTCTTACGCTACTGTAAATATGCCGTGATGAGCATATTTTTTTTCCCCCAAAGTGTCTTTCTGCACTTTGGGTTATATCCTTGGGGGTGATTCTTCTTGCTGTGTCACTCACCTGACCTCCTTGGCCCTCTTCTGCAGGCTTACCTCTTCCCAGCTATGGCCATTTTTAAGGCAGAAGATGCCAGCGGGGAGGCAGCAGCCATGCTGAACAATATGCGTGTGTATGGCACCTGTGTGCTCACTTGCATGGCCACTGTGGTCTTTGTGGGCGTCAAGTATGTCAACAAATTTGCCCTTGTCTTCCTGGGTTGTGTCATCCTCTCCATCCTGGCCATCTATGCTGGGGTCATCAAATCTGCCTTTGACCCGCCCAACTTCCCGTAAGTGCTTTTGCTCTGAGCCTAAGGCATTGTCTTCCTCCTCCCTGGCTTGGTTTCTGGGTCTGCAATGCCAGCCGCTGCCAACCTCCCTCTCCTCATCTCTCAGAATCTGAGTGATTGTGGATTCAGAGCAACCTCCCTTTGGAGCGAAAAGCTCTCCTGGTTTGGGGGGAATCTCTACAGGGGGGTAATATGTTCTGCAGGTGGGCAGAGTTTCCCCTGTGAGGGTCAACTACTTGTGGGTGGGGTGGGCTTAGGAAGAACCAAGTGGGACGATTTCTGAAGGGATGACTCTCTATGTTAGGGGAGCATTTCCTGGATGGAGACAAATTCCTGGAATAGGACAACTTATTAGTGTTGGACACCTTTTCTATCATGGGCAAGGTCACAGAAGAGAGGGTCTAGGGGCTCAGATCTCTGTGGGCTCTGCCTCTTAAGGACAGATTCCCTTACATGTCACTGCCAGGATGACGCACGGAGGCTGTTGTCCATGGTGCTGAAACACAGCGTTGCGCTAAAACGGTGCTTCTTGGCGGTGGCTGCATATTAAAATCATTTGGGGGAGCTTTGAAAAAACACTGATTCTGGGCTCCATCCCAACTAAATCAGAATCTCTGGATATGGGGCCCTGGGATCTGTGTTTCTTAGAGCTCCCCCAGTGGTTCTATTGTGAAGCCAAGGCAAGGTTATGTCCTTCCCCCATCTTCCTCCCTTGTTTCTCTCCCTAGGATCTGCCTCCTGGGGAACCGCACACTGTCTCGCCATGGCTTTGATGTCTGTGCCAAGTTGGCTTGGGAAGGAAATGAGACGGTGACCACAAGGCTCTGGGGCCTTTTCTGTTCCTCCCGTTTCCTCAACGCCACCTGTGATGAGTACTTCACCCGAAACAATGTCACGGAGATCCAGGGCATCCCTGGCGCCGCCAGTGGCCTCATCAAAGGTCTGGGGGAGGGAAGAGGCCTGGTGTCCAGGGAACACTACAGGGATTGTGGGTTAAACGGTCAGGATTAAGGAACTCTCCTTGGGATTCACTTAAATTCAATCAGTTTTAATTGAGCACCTACTCTGGTCCATGTTCTGTCCTTGGTATCATGGAGGAATACCAGGAAGCCTTCAAATATCTTACCACCTAGTAGCAAAGAAAGTCATCAGTTTAACAACTATTCACTAAGCATCTTCTTAGTTTCTAGGACTGTGCTAAGCACCAGGAATACAGCATAAATAAGTCACAGTCCTTGGCTTCAAGGAGTCTAATAGCAGACACAGATGTATTAGCAAATAAATTGCAATTTGAGTAGATGTGCATTCAATGAACAGAGACCTCACAGTGGAGGGAGCAGTCATGTGTACAAGGTGGCAAGACAAGCCTTCCTAGACTCATCTTAGAAGAGTTTTGAGGGAAAAATAAGAGAGATTTTGAGTTATACTAGGGGAATAAAGGAATTAAGGGAGAAGAACAGCTTGCCTGAGAGCATGCAGACAGAGAAGAGCATATTGTGTCCTTCCAACCACAAATAATTTGGTATGACTGGGGCATAAAGTGCAAAGGAAGGAGGGGCAAGAAATGATGTTGGAGAGGCTGGCATAAGCCAGATTGTGGCAGGCCTTGGAAGCCATGTTGAAGTGTTTGAACCATGTCCTAAGGACAATGAGGAGCCACCAAAGGGTTTCAGATAAGAGAAGAACTTAGTCAGCTCATCATTTCTAAAGGTTCACTCTGGCTGTTAATATGGACAAGGTAAAAGGGAGAGAGAACAGTGGCAGGGAGTCCAGGAAGAGGGTGATGCTGAGTCCAGGTGAGAGATGGTGGTTTTCTAATCTAGAGTGATGGAGTGATGTCAGTGGGTGTGGAGCAGCAGTTCTCCCCCATGACTGTTTTGTCCCCCAGAAGACATGTAGCAATGTCTAGGGACATTTTTGGCTATCACAACTAGATGCTTATTACTGGCATCTAATGCACAAAAACCAGGATTTTGCTAAACATTCTACAGTGCTGTAGGACAGCCCTCCATGACGAAGAATTATTTGGCCCAAAATGTCAATAGTGCAGAAGTGGGGAAACCCTGGAAAAGAGAGAAGGGGCATATTTGAGAAACATTTAAAAGGAATAGTGGGCAGAAGTCGGAGATGGTTTTGAAGTGGAGATGGGCAGGGGAGCATCTGAGGGCAACATAAAACTGTCTGAGTTGATGGTGGTGGTGCCATTTGTTGAGACAAGAGGCACAAAAAAGGAGCTGGTTTGAGGTGGCTGGGTGCTGAGATTGGTTTGGGACATAATGAATCAGCCTGAGATAGCTTTTTATATGATTTTTTACCCCACTAGACAGGACTATTTTGAGGGCAAGGACTAGATCTAATTCATGTGCAAAGCCTCTGGACATGGCCTGGCCCAAAGCAGGAGCTTGGGAAATGTTGGTGGAAATAAAATAGAGCCAAGACCCCAGGAAAGTGAGAAGTGGTTGACATCGACCCTTCCTTTTTTGCTCACCCCACCTCCTGGCCCTAGAACTCTAATAACCTGGCTTCTGGTCTTCCTCCTGACCGTCCTTTCTCCCCCCCACAGAGAACCTCTGGAGCTCCTACCTGACTAAAGGGGTGATTGTGGAGAGACGTGGGATGCCTTCGGTGGGCCTGGCGGAGGGCACCCCTGTCGACATGGACCATCCTTATGTCTTCAGCGATATGACCTCCTACTTCACCCTGCTGGTTGGCATCTACTTCCCCTCAGTCACAGGTGAAGGGGAGCTCAGAAGACTCTGCCTGGGACTGATGGGTGGAGAGAGTCAATAATGATGTGGGAAATTTCTTAGTCCTACAATCTCATCACATGGGCAGGAGCCAACAATCCAGTTCCCATTGCACAGATGAGGGAATTAAGGCCAGGAGAAGCCAAAGAATATGGCCAAGGTCTCAACACCAGTTGGTATGCCAGGACTAGATCCCAGGCTACCTGACTCCAGGGTTGGTGTCCTTTCTTCTTGTTCTGTTTGGTCTCCTGTGGACCCTGTCCTAGCTGTTCCTCTGTTCACAGGGATCATGGCTGGTTCTAACCGCTCCGGGGACCTACGGGATGCCCAGAAGTCAATTCCCACTGGCACTATCCTGGCCATTGCCACCACCTCTGCTGTCTGTATCCTGCACTGCTGGGCTGGGAGCACCCTGGGCGGGGAGGCCTGGGGGGAGGGCAGCTTCAGCTTCTGCCTCACCCAGCTAGATTGGGAGGAGAAAGGGGAATGTCACCCTGGAGATTCTCCTTCATCCTCTACTACAGATATCAGCTCTGTTGTTCTGTTTGGGGCCTGCATTGAGGGGGTCGTCCTGCGGGACAAGTAAGTAAGGGAATCAGGGCTGATTCTGTCCTGGGTGGTGGGTGTAGGGGACTAAATTCTGGGAAACAGACACAGCAGGGAGTGCTGAGCCTGTGCAAGGGGAATTGTGGGAGGGAGGTCTCACAGGGTTGCTTGCAAACTTACCTTGTATTACATTTTATCTTGCTCAAGAAGCTTGGATGGTGTGTGTCTCTCTCTTAGTAGTTAGTACTAAGAGTAGTACTAAGTAGTACTAGTACTACTACTACTATTAGTATTAGTACTAAGTAGTACTAAGATAGTACTACTTACCCCCCCTTTAAAATCTATTAACTCATTTAACATTTCCTAGATGTCTATGTGTTGGTTGTTATCCAGAGTTCTGTGGGGAATAAAGATCAATAACACATACTTTTTGTCCTGAGGGAGCTCTTTGGGGGCTGGTAACCATACTCAACAACAGACTTGGAACGCAGGGTGGCAAGAGTGGGATAAAGTAAAGTACAAGGGCTCTGGTTGTGCACGGGACACTGCAACCCAGTCCCCAGGAGGCTGGAGAGGAGGAGGTGATGCTGGAAGTGCCTTATGCATGTTTTCTCATTTATCCTCTATTTATTTATTTATTTGGTTTTTTAAAAAAGATTTCATTTATTTGAGAGAGAGAGAGAGAGAGAGAGAGAGAGAGAAGTGGTGAGAGAGGAAACACAAGCAGGGGGAGTGGGAGAGGGAGAAGCAGGGAGCCCGATGCAGGACTCGATCCCAGCACCTGGGATCATGACCTGAGCTGAAGGCAGATGCTTAACGACTGAGCCACCCAGGCGTCCCCATATCCTCTTCACTTTAAATGTTGTGTAGAGATTACTTAGGTGACTAGGCATGGGAAGGGCATTCTAGGTGGTGGAAATAGCATGAACAAAGGTAGAGAAGAGAAACAGCTGTGTCTGTGTCTGTGTCTGTGTCTGTGTCTGTGTCTGTGTCTGTGTGTGTGTGTGTGCGCACGCACACACACACACACATGCAAGTGGGTGCCTGTAGCTATAAGCAATTCAGAGCTTCTGGAACATACACTTTTGAAGGGTGTGGGCATGCGCCACCAGCAGGGTGAAGTAGGAGGTCTTGTCACAGAAGTCAGTTTCCATGGTGCTGTCCTGGCTTCCGTAAGGGCTGGGGGAACGGGAACATGAGGCAGGAGCCAGTCCTGGAAGCCTGATTTTTGGTACCAGGACATTAGAGCTTTATTTTATTGAGAACTGCAGGCACCCTGTCAGGTTTTAGCAAGGGAGTGACCTGGCCAAATGGACAATTTGCATATATTACACTTATTCACTTTTGAGGGCAACTTAATCAACACTTATTTCATTTAATCATAGACCTCCCACAGGATCGCAAGGGATTCAGCAAGTCATCCAGTAAAACCCTTCATTTGATTCTCATAGTCCTTCAGCAATGGCCCATTTGAGCATAACCTCTGGTTCCACACTCCAGTCACAGGGCTCTCTTTACCGACCTAGGAGGCCTCTTCCAACTGAAGATAGTGCCATTGTTAGAAATTGCTTACCTTTGATGTTCTCACCACACGACCATGACCACCCAATGAGGTCGGAACCCCATGTTTCAGATGGAGGCACAGGTTCTAACAAGCTAAGAGATTTGGCCACATTAACATAATATTACACAATTGACCATTTACTGTGATCACTCTTGTTCCGGGCACGGTACTGAGCATTTCACCTGTGTTATCTCCTTTTATCTGGTCACCAATCATGTGAGATGGGTTTATCATCATTCTGTTTTACCACTGAGGACGTTGAGGCAAGGAGAGGTTAAATGAGTTGCCCAGGGTCACATAGAAAGTGTCCAGGGTATCAGGAGCTTTGTCTCCTCCCCTCGCCTTGCTCCCTTAGAACCTAGGCCTACGGTGGGCACACAGCTGGTCTTGAGGCTGGTGTAGGAGACATGCCCTTGAAATTGAGGAGGTATTGCTCACCCAGAATCTCCTGTCCCTTCATTCCAGGTTTGGCGAAGCTGTGAATGGCAATCTGGTGGTGGGCACACTGGCCTGGCCATCCCCCTGGGTCATTGTCATTGGATCCTTCTTCTCCACCTGTGGGGCTGGGCTGCAGAGCCTCACGGGGGCCCCACGCCTGCTGCAGGCCATCTCCCGGGATGGCATAGTGCCCTTCCTGCAGGTCAGTCAGGGGCAGAGTGTGGGAAGAACAGCCCATCCACTACACCAGCCAGCCAAGCCACTGCCCAGAGAGGCCACCCAGGGAGCCAAGGCCCCCTGGGGCCCTTCCGTTCTGCACTCCCACTAAGAAGAATGGGTGCGCCTTATTTGGGATTTGGCCTATGGCAGTGTCATCTTTTTGGGGAGAGTTGTCTGCTCTTAGGGGAGGAACAAATGGCCCTCCTTTGGCTGAGTGACCAGGGAGGGAGGCAGCCAAAGGGCAAGAAGATGTAGCTCTCTCCATGGTGCTTAAAAAAAAAGATTCACAGAGTACACAGTCTTGGCCACTTGCTGACCCTGTAGCTCTTCTCCATCTGTCCCACAGGTGCTTCTTTTCCCCTTAAGGGATGATTCGAACTTCATTGCACTGAGTTACCAATGCCAGAGTGGGAGAGACACAGCCAAAGCCTGACATCCCCTTGGGTACCCCTAAAGGGTGAGGAATACATGTCCTCTCCCTCCTTCCTCTGGTTAGGGGAGTCCTGCCTCTATTGCACTAGTCCCCAAGACTGGAGAAGAGAGATGACAAGTCTCTGAGATCTCAGACCTCTATGGTGGCTGCTCTGTCCCCAGGTCTTTGGCCACGGCAAAGCAAACGGAGAGCCAACATGGGCCTTGCTGCTGACTGCCTGCATCTGTGAGATTGGAATCCTCATCGCGTCCCTTGATGAGGTCGCCCCCATCCTCTCTATGTGCGTGCTGGCCTCTTGCCCACTCCATCAGCTCTGGGGGAGGGGGGACGTCTCTCTACCTGGATCCTCCAGTTGCGACCCTGGATAGCCCACCCAGTTGTTTAACGGTCCGTCTTTTGTTATATGGAGATTCATTCCCACATGCACCATGGTGTGTTTTAAGGGGATTTGGCTTCCAAATCCCTCCCTCAGCACCAGAATGTGATCTGACCACCTCCCCAATTTCTTACCCTCTTTCCCACTTTCTTTGTTTATGCTTCTCTTTCTGTTTCTGCCTCCCTTTGCATCTCTGTCTCTCCTGGGGCTTTTCTGTGTTCTAGGTTCTTCCTGATGTGCTACATGTTTGTGAACCTGGCCTGTGCAGTGCAGACGCTGTTGAGGACGCCCAACTGGAGGCCACGCTTTCGATATTACCACTGGTGGGCGCCTTGTCCCCTTCCCTGGCTGCCGGAACCACCCTCTCGCCTCCACCCCGACCCTCGCCTCACCCTAGCCCATCCCCGAGGTCTAAGGATCCCAAACTTAAATAGGGAGCCCATTTCTCTGGCTTTTGTAGCCCAACTAGCACTAGAAAGATTCTGGATCACACATAGTAATATAACAGGACCATCTGGGGTCTCAGCTGTGGTCCCACCCCTGCCCATCCTGCTCAACATCTTACAGACTAGAAGAAGAGACATCAGTTTCCTTGGCTGTGAAATGGGGGTGACAACCGCAGTGACCTCATGGGCCCTTGTGAGTGTTACGGGGCTTGGTGCACAGAAGATGCTTGCTACATGGAGCCCGGGGCTCTTTGGATCATTTCACTTTATGGCCCTTCAGCTTCACAGTTGGCCTGTGGGGCAGACAGGGTAGGAAGGACCCTACTTGCTCTACAGAAAGGAAACAGGCACAAAGAGGGGAAGGGACTGGCCCCAAGTCACCCAGAAAGACTATGGCATACCAGGACTAGGACCTGGGCTGCCCGACTTCCATCTTAGTGCTCCTGCTCTGCCAGTCGCCTCTTCCTGGGGGCACACTCTTACTGGGAGATCCTGCCTCTGACTCCCTCCAGGGAACTCTGCCTTGGAAGGCCTCTGGCAGGGTGGTCTGGCAGAGTCAAAGGCACTGGAGCAAGGTAGTGTGTTGACTCACAAGTTGTGTGAGGCTTGGGGTGGTGCACAGTCTGTGGCTGCTCATTCATCCAGAAGGTCCCAAATCCCCATGGGGCTGCTCGTGGAGATGATGCTGCGAGTTCCCCCAGACCTGAGCCACCCTAGACCTCCAGTTCTTGTCCACTCCACACCCCATCTAACTCCTGCTGTCTGAGCCCTGGCACGAGTGACAGTCCTGCCAGGGCTCAGGGGCTGGGTCTTTTTCCCATTGTCCAGGACACTTTCCTTCCTGGGCATGAGCCTCTGCCTGGCACTCATGTTTATCTGCTCCTGGTATTATGCGCTGGTGGCCATGCTCATTGCTGGGCTCATCTACAAGTACATTGAGTATCGTGGGTAAGTGTTGGCGGGGGAATGGGGAGGGATGGGAGAGGCTAAGGGATGGGAGGGAGTGGGGATAAAGTAAGAGTGGGGGAGGGGATGGGGTGATAGGGGTGGGATTGGGAGATAGAGGACAGGAGCTGAGGGAGGGGGTGGAGCTTTGAGAAAAGGAGGTGGCAGAATGGTTGCCTATCCTCTGTCCTGGGGTGGCCACTTGGGTGTGCGTGGGTCTTACTGATACCCCTGACTTTCTGCCCTGGTTGATCCCCTCGGACCTGCAGGGCCGAGAAGGAGTGGGGTGATGGGATCCGAGGCCTGTCCCTCAGTGCTGCACGCTATGCCCTCTTACGCCTGGAGGAAGGGCCCCCACATACCAAGAATTGGAGGTAAGTGGCCAGGCCTGCGTGGGAGGGCAGAAGGGAAAGAAGGGGAGGAAGGGAAGGAAGGGAGCAGGGTCTGACTCTCGTCACCTGCTTTGGTCAATGAGTGCTCTCCTCCCCGCCACGGTCTGCCCTCACCTCCCCTTCTCAGCCCTGCCTAGTCTGACCTTTTCCCCCTGCAGCACCCGGGGCCGGGCCGAGCTGCCATCTCTTCATCCCTCTGTTCATTCCGTCATGTGTTTAAAAAATGTACAATCGCAGGATACATGCCAGGCCCCCTTCTAGTCTGCAGGAACCCAGTGAGCTGGCAGTTCCACGGAGAAAGCACATGCAGAGACAGACAAATGTAACGTCGTGTGGCATTTGCTCTGGGAGAGGTGACTTCATTCACTTAGAGAGATATAGGGGCTCCTAGAAATCTCTAGATTTGGAGCAATCCCTCTACTTTACTTGTGTGGAAGTCAGGGACTAGAAAAGGTCTCAGAGGTCACAGAAGGCAGAACTAGAAGCAGGAATTTTACCTCCCACTTCTCCACCCAGGCTGCTTTCTAGATGACGGTTATGTAAGCCCGGCCTCACTCATCTCCCTCAGGTTGCTTGGCCAAGAGGAAGGCCTGAAGCCTGAGCTATGCCTAGGACATTGCTGGCTTGCGCTTGCTGGTGTCTACTCAACTGGGGCTTCCAGAGATCAGGGCTTTGTATTACTCATCTGTGAATTCTTAAATGCTCAGCACAGGGTCTAACCCCGAGTGCTTAGAGAATGCTCCTAAACCGATGGCCAGTGCGATGGATTGGGGGGGGCAAATGAAAAAGGAAATGAATGGATAAATAGTTGGGTCGATGGCCAAGTGTATATGTGAATTGGAGGGTGACTGCTGACAGGTTAATGTGTGAATGGACGGGGGCATGTGGATGTCAGGTAATTAGGTGATTAATGCAGGTATAGGGAACTTAGTACGGATACGATTGGGGACTGACAGATGAGAGGGCTGGATGGGTGAATGGATGGATGGATAAGTGAGGTGGATGAGAGATAAGTGAGTGGGTGGGTGGGTGGGTGGCTGTGCGGGAGCTGGTGGGATGGGTTGATGTTCAAGGAAATGGGTGGGTGGATGTTTAAATGGACAGGTAGGGGATGGGGGTATGGAGGATGGATGGCTAGTGAACTCACTGGCTTATGGCACGAGGGTGTGTGGTGTATGGTGGAGGTTGGGCGTGTGTGGTGTGGACCACCTTGCATCCTCTTCAGGCCACAACTGCTGGTGCTGGTGCGTGTGGACCAAGACCAGAATGTGGTACACCCCCAGCTGCTCTCGCTGACTTCCCAGCTCAAGGCAGGGAAGGGCCTGACCATTGTGGGCTCCGTCCTTGAGGGCACCTTTCTGGATAACCATCCCCAGGCCCAGCGGGCAGAGGAGGTGAGCCGAGGCCCTGGTGGGGATGGGGAACGGGAGGGCACTCAGGAAGACAGTCCTTGTCCCTTTACACTTTTCCCTCCTTCCCACCCTTGGGATCGAAGTGGGCTCTGGCTTTTCTGTCGTCTTCCTTAGAACAGGACTCTAAGGGCTCAGAGAGAGAGAGTTCCTTAGAATCCAGCTCTCAGAAGCGAAGACCGTCAGAGCCCAAAGGGCCCATTTGATGCATAAGGAAACTGAAGCCTAGAGAAGTCAGGGCATTTGTCTAAGGACAGAAAACGGAGACTCAGATTAGGACGGCTTGACTGCTACTCCAGTCTTCTCCCTGCCAAAGGATACACCTTTCAGGGTGTTCTCACATCCGTGATTCTCTGGATCCCCACACTGTGTGGAATTGGCAGTGTGAGTACCCACATTTAGTACAGGAGGAAACAGGCCCATAGAGGGAAGGCAGCAGACAGCCACAGAGCTGGCTGGAGGCACAGTCAGGATTTGAACCTGGGGCCCTGGCTCTGGGTCACCTGCTCCTGTCCACATCCACGGTCCATGCTCTCAGAGCAGAGTCCAGAGCCAGGGCCGGTGGGACAGGCGGCTTATGCGGGATGGGGCACCGACAGGTGTTTGAGACCTGGTGGGCAGCAGGGGAAGTGGGCTCGGTCTTCGATCCAGGCTTCTCTCCCCTCGGGCTGTGACTAGTTGTGGAGTAAGGAAAGAAGGCCGGAGGGAGGTAAGGCGAGATAGGGAGGGGCACCCCTAATGGCTTGCGACAGTTGGTGTTTCTGCCTCACTGGGCCGTTCACACCAATCTGTCAAGGCCCAGAGCTGGAGGCCTCCGCTGGTCAGCTTCCTTCAACACGCAGAGGCTGAGAATGTGCTGTGAACCAGGCGTGGGGAGATTGGGGGCGGGGTGTGAGACCAAATCCCAGCCCTCGAGGCGCTCCCATGCTAGTCGGAAGATGGAACATACCCAGAGGGCTCTCAAACCCACTTGAGTTCATATCCGAGTAATAGAATGTGTCGTGTTTACAATCTGTCAGGTAACATTCTACCTTACCCACATCATGTCTTGTCATTCTCCCTGTTCCTAAATGAGGTAGCTGTTATGATTCCCATTTGACAGATGGGAAAACTGAGGCTCCTAGAGGTTAGGTGATTTGCCCAAGGTCCCACAGCCAGGAGGTGGCAGAGGTAGGAGTTGAGGCCCTCTCTGACATCAGGGTAGGGGTCCAGAGTGGGGATGGAGTCAGAGCCCTGGAGTTTCACCCCTACAGTGACAGCCATTAGCTGGGTGGCCTAAGCAAGACTTAATTCCTCTGAGCCTGAATTTCCTCCTCTGTAAAGTGAGAGTAAGAAGAGCCTTACCCTCATAGTGCAGGCGGTATGTGCATTTAAACTGCTTATCATCCAGGCTAACTTTTTAAAAGTCGTTCGAAGCAAATCGTCTGGGCATGCAGGGGAGCCCCGTTCCATGCTGGTCTGGGTGGGGGGTGGTCTAAGGCAGGGTGGAATGGACAGTGGGGGGAGGGGTCCCAGCAGAGCTGGAGGGCTTGCAGGGGGACTGCGAACGATGGCGGGGTGGGGGCAAGTGCGGGGTAAGGTCATGAAGAGCTTTGACGCATCAACAAGGAATGGGAGCCACAGGACATGGGAGCCATGCACAGTTCGGGTGCCCTGGGCTGAGTGTCAGGAAGATCGGGATGATGCAGGGGACAGACAGGAGGAAGGGAGGCCACGAAGGGCTGAGCAGGGCCAGGGAGGCCTGAGGCTCATCCTTGTCTGACACGCTCCCTTCACCGCCACCTTCCCCAGTCCATCCGGCGCCTGATGGAGGCAGAGAAAGTGAAGGGGTTCTGCCAGGTAGTGATTTCCTCCAACCTGCGTGACGGTGTGTCGCATCTGATTCAGTCTGGGGGCCTCGGGGGGCTGCAGCACAACACGGTCCTCGTTGGGTGGCCCCGAAACTGGCGGCAGAAGGAAGACCATCAGACGTGGAGGAACTTCATTGGTAACATGGGGAGGGCGTGGGGCCATTGGGGGGGAGCTGTGGGGAGGGCGTGGGTTCTCCTTCCTGGGCCCGGGTGCTGTTTCGCAGATGTGACAGGTGCGGACTCTGCATCTGCAGGTGTGGGCGTTCAGAGCTGGCCATGTGCCAGACGCTGCACTGGGTGCCGGGACTCAGGTGTGAAGGAGGTAGTCCTGGGCCCCGCAGAGCTGGCTCAGCCCTGGGAGGGCGTCCGTGGAGGCCCGTGGAGAGAGCTGCAGCTGTGAAGTCAGAGAAGCCGGGGTCTGAATCTCGCCTCTGGCCCTTCCTAGCTGTGTGATGGTTCACAAGTGACTCACCCTCTCTGAGCACTAGATCCCTCGGTAGTAACACAATAACGAACGATTACAGACCACGCTCCGTGGGCCAGACTCTAAGCCTCTCGTTCTCTCAGCAGTCCCGGGAGGGTTATTCCCTGTTATCGCCACTTTATTGGTGTGAAACCAAGGCACAGAGAGACTGAGGAATTTGCTACAGGTCACACAGCTGGTAAATCTAGAGGCTGCCCTGGCGACTACTCCAGGCTATTCTGGGTCCTTAATGGGGGTGGGGGTCATAGTTAGAAGGCAGTTGAGAGCGTAAATGAGGCCACGCATGGGAGAGTCCCTGAAAAGAAGGGCACGTGGTGTTATTGCCATTGACAGGTGGGGAAACTGAGGCCCAGCGAGGCTGAGAGGCCTTCCCAAATCCAAACAACAATGAAGTGATGAGACCTACATGGATGCTGGTTTTCTGACGACTCCGTCCAAGGCTGGGGTGGGGGTGAGGTGGGGCGCTGGGTGCCAGGAGCCACTGCGGCCGCCAGTGGGTGCGGGAAAGGGACCAGGGTCACTGTGTTCCCATCTGGCCCTCTCCTTGGCCCTCCCCAGAGCTGGTCCGGGAAACCACAGCTGGTCACCTGGCCCTGCTGGTCACCAAGAATGTGTCCATGTTCCCCGGGAACCCTGAGCGCTTCTCGGAGGGCAGCATCGACGTCTGGTGGATCGTTCACGACGGCGGCATGCTCATGCTCTTGCCTTTCCTGCTGCGGCACCACAAGGTGAGGGCGGGCGTGGCTCCGGGGCTCGAGCAGTGGCCAGCCTCCAGGCGAGCTCCTCCCCGAGAACTCCTGGGAAAGGGGGTTAACTACCCCCCTTGTCTGGGAACTGATTGTGTCTCCTCCTGCTGTGTCCTTGCCTATAAAGGAGAGCAGTGCTTGACCCACACAAGTGATGCTTTAATGGGGGACCCTTACTTAAGGGAGTTCTTGTAGGCAGTGACCCCTGAGATAGAGGATTTCGGGTCTGCATATAGGCATGGGAAGGTGGACGGGAAGGGCGAGGGACAGGGTCCTCTCTAGGTTCGGGTTCTGGATCTCTCCTCACTGCATCTGGGCTGGACCTTTCTGGGTCCCTTTCACCCCTCCAGGTCTGGCGGAAGTGCAAGATGCGTATCTTCACGGTGGCCCAGATGGACGACAATAGCATCCAGATGAAGAAGGACCTGACCACCTTTCTGTACCACTTACGTATCACCGCGGAGGTCGAGGTGGTGGAGATGGTGAGTTCCCCGGAACTGCCCGGAGGTTTTGGAGTCCTTCCTGGCCCTCTTTGCCCTTGGCCCCAGCACCGAATAGGGCAAGCCCCAAATCCTTCAGCTTATGACGATGGATCTCCTCCCCACCCTATCCACCTCTTAGCCTCTCACATAGTCACCCAAGAGCCAGTCTGTCCCTCCATCCGTCCGTCTGTCTCTCCCTCCCTTTCTAAGAACAGCCATGCCATTAGATGCGAGGCGCTGTCTCGTACACTTTACGTATATTCTCACAGCAACCAGTGAAACAGAACTATCGGCATTTTCATTTCACAGATTAGGAGTCGAGGCACAGGAAGGTTAAGTAATTTGCCCAACAGTACAGCTAAGCGGCAGAGCCAGGATTCACGTCCCGGCAAGCTGGCTTCAGAGTCCACGCCCCTCGTGATTACGGGCCAGAGCCTCTCCTCTCTCCTTTCTCCCCGTTTATTTATCCCTCCATCCATCCCTCTGTGTTCATTAATGTGTTCATTCACTCAACCACCCATTCATCCATATATGTATTCATTCATCACTGTTCCTTTATGAAATGTCTTCCCCTTCTCCATTCACCCAGGTAATTAATTAATCGACTCATTCATTAATTCACCCATTCATATGCCTGGTCCTGCGTTGGGCTGAGCAGGGAACGAGCTGCATTGCCTTCGAGGAGCATTGCCCGATGCTTTGTCCTTGCCTCCCACAGCTATTGGTTAAACTAGGTCATTAGATGGAGAAGCCCTAGGCTGGCGGAAGGAGAGGAGGCTGCCTCCCTTCCCTTGGCCTCACCCCTGAACTCAAGCTTTCCTCCCTTGCCCCCGTCACTGCCCGCCCACAGCACGAGAGCGACATCTCAGCTTACACCTATGAGAAGACACTGGTGATGGAGCAGCGTTCCCAGATCCTCAAACAGATGCATTTAACCAAGAACGAGCGAGAGCGGGAGGTGAGCTCGCCCTGACAGGGCTCTGAGCGCCTCAAGCTGCTGCCCAGTCTGGGTCTGCACGGCAGGGAGGGCCCAGGGCTCCCACTCCTGGCCGCTGGCACCGCCTTCACCCTGGAGCGTTACTCATCACCCTTCCCCCCACTCGAGCCCGCCTCGCTGCACCTACCAAGCCTGCCAGCCATGATGCCAAGGGCTTTGGCTTGGGTGACAGACTCCCCCCTCTGTATGTGACTTCTGGGGCCCAATGGAGAACAGCGGAAGCTAAATATATATGGATAATGATTCCTCAGGGGCACGGGCTGCGAGTGTGGGGGACGAGGGATCACGTGATAAACCCTGCCAGAGCGGGCACCAGATGGGCCATAACTAGCTAACGGTGGGAGTTGGGGGCTCACCTCCTAGGGTGTGGTTGCGGAGTTCTCAGGGGTGATGACGATGAGTCTCCCATGGGTTGTGGGTGTCAGACTGCCCAGGTGTAGGTAATGTGGGACCACTCGTCCCCGGGAGCTGGGAGGACAGCCGCACCTCAGGGAGTGGAGGCCTCGGGGAAATGAAGGATGGTACTCTGGGACCAGGGACAGAAGAGCTCTCGGAGGCAGGTGACAGGGTGTCTGGGGAGTGGGGGGCAGATCCTGTAGGTGAAGGTGACAGACCACGGTTGAGGTGGTCTCCCAGGTGTGAGTAATGGGTCCTCAGGGGAATGGGTGATGGGTGCCTCTGGGAGCTGGGAAGGATGAACACTCCAGGGCTGATAGTAAAAGATGTAAGAAATGTCAAGGGCACTGACCACTCAGAACTGGCCCTGGGCGCTAAGCTAAGATAGAGCCCTGTGAGGGCGGGGGCAAGCATTAACCCTTTGGTTGCTGGTGGGTGTTCTGCCAATGCTTTGGAGCAGCCTGGTGAGCAGGGCAGTAGCTGTTTGACAAGGACACACTGCAGTATTCCAACAGCTGGTACCGCTTCCAGCAGTGCGCATCTGTGGCTGAGCAGCAGCTCTGGCCGTAGCGTTTTGCAGGGCACGGGTGCTGAGCGAGAGCCGAGCTGGTCCTAACCCGTGTCACTCTCTAGATCCAGAGTATCACAGATGAGTCTCGGGGCTCCATCCGGAGAAAGAATCCAGCCAACACTCGGCTCCGCCTCAACGTCCCAGAAGAGACAGCTGGTGACAGCGAGGAGAAGCCAGAGGAGGAGGTGTGCGGCGGGGGTGGTCTGGCCCCAGCCGGTGGGGGCAGAAGCTTTGGCCTCTACAGGAGTTACAAGCTGCCCCGTCATTCCTCTCCCAGGTGCAGCTGATCCATGACCAGAGCGCTCCCAGCTGCCCCAGCAGTTCTCCATCCCCGGGGGAGGAACCCGAAGGGGAGGGCGAGGGAGACCCAGAGAAGGTGCATCTCACCTGGACCAAGGACAAGTCGGCAGCAGAGAAGAATAAGGGTCCCAGTCCGGTCTCCTCTGAGGGCATCAAGGACTTCTTCAGCATGAAGCCGTAGGGGCCTGGGGCCTTGGGGGCTGGGGGCTGGGTGAACCTACAGGGTCTTTACTCCCCATGGCAGAGCAAAGGAGCAGAGGAGGTCCTGGTCGGAAGACCCAGCCCAAACCTTGTCCGGGTTTCCCCATCTGAGAACTGGGGGGTTGCACTGATTAGTGAGGATCAGTACTCCCAGGCGGAGCCAGTGAAAAAGTGAAGGGGGAGCGGCGGTGGGGGGGCAGTACCTACTGCGGGGGAGGGGGGCGGTGAGGGTGGGCGAATGGTAAGGGGTGATGATGGCCCAGGTCCTCAGTCTCTCCTTTTTCTGACCTATCTCTTGTTCTTCTCTTTGCTTCTGTGTTTCCTGAAGGGAGTGGGAGAATTTGTAAGTGCTTCAGGATTTTTTCATTCTCTCTTCTGGGTTGCCAGTGTGCCTGGTCTCCTGACTCTTATCATGAACCCTCAGTTCGTGGTCCTGGCCTTTGGGGTCTCTGAATAGCCCAGTCTGGAGAGGCCTGGGTTGACCTGGTGCCAGCGGCCCAGTGCCCCCGAGGCTGGGAGGGCCGTGGGTCCAGCTTTCCCAGTTCCAGCTCACGCGCCCTCCTCCCCTCTGCCCCCCCACCCCCCATCCCAGAAACCAGTCCAACGTGCGGCGCATGCACACCGCCGTGCGGCTGAACGAGGTCATCGTGAAGAAATCCCGGGAGGCCAAGCTGGTTTTGCTCAACATGCCGGGACCTCCACGCAACCGCAACGGTGACGAAAATTGTATCCTGGACCTAACGTTGGGGGGTGGGGGGTGCGGGGTGGGGGCTCGAGGCGGACGTCAGGGGGCCGGGGTCCTAGTCCTGGGATGGAAGAGCTGAGCCCGGTCCTGCTTCAATTACCTGGGACCCGGACGGTTCCAGGGCCCAGGGTTCCCTGGCGCCGATCGCAGCCCCCATTCCACCCGGGAGCGGGGTGTGGATGGGAAAGGGACGGTCTTTCTCCTTGACGCGCGCTCAGACATGGAGTTCCTCGAGGTCCTCACCGAGCACCTGGACCGGGTGATGCTGGTCCGCGGCGGTGGCCGCGAGGTCATCACCATCTACTCCTGAGAGCCAGGACCTGCCATCCGGGCCCGAGCGCGCCCGGCCGGCGGCCCCGGAGCTCTCGCCGCGCCCCCCGCCGCTGTCACCGTTTACATACAGACCCTGTGTCCGCGCCCTGGCCCCTTTCCCCGCTGCCTGAAGCCCGGAGGCCACGCCGCTGGGGGCTGACTCGGAGAGGACCGCCCCAAGCGGAGGCCGGAGCCCGGGCGCCCCGTCGGCGCGTTGCTCCGCGGGCCCGGCGTAGCCCCGCGGGAGGAGACGCTGCAATAAGGCCGGGGAGGCGCAGAGAGCTGGGGGCGCGGGGCCGTGAGGAGTCCCGGCGGGCCTTGCGGCCCGGTCCTCTCCCCCGCCCCGCCCCGTCCTCGGCGCCGCGGCGCGGGCCCGGCTCCCCGCGTCCCGAGGGCGCGCGGTGGGGAGGCCGCGCTCGGCCGGATCCACAGCCCCCCCGCGCGGGGCCGCGCCTATACATAGTGTACAGGAGACATCGCGTGTATTTTTAACGTCCCCATATTTCTGTGACTAGAAGCGCAACGGACTTCTCTGCTCGCCACTGTCGAGCTCTCCCGCTGGAGCGCCCGGGGGAGGCGGCGGCCTCGGGGAGGCTGGGTTTTCCTGGACGTCCGAGAGTTTGGGAGCAGAAGTGCTTTCGGCTTAGGCGAGAGTCGCGGTCCTGGCCCCTCGGCACGCTCGCCCCGCTCTCGCCTCCTCGCCCTTCCCGCGCGCCCCTGGCTTCCGACCCTTTCCACGAGCTCTTTTCGGAGATGGGGTGAGACCAGTGTCCAGCTTTTCCTGGATCCGCCTCCCAGCGGCTGCGGGGAAGCGCGTGGCCTCCTCTAGGCTCCCGGCGTGCAGGCTCCAGGGCAGGGGAGGGGCTCCTCGGGGATGGGGAGAGACCGAGGAAGCCCCGCCCCCGTGCCTTCGCTGGGGCAGCAGGCGTCTCTCCTCGTCGGCTTGTCGCCTGCTCCCCCTATCCCATGGCTCCTCGCCAAAGACTGAAGCTGGGGAGCTGGACGGCGTCCCCTCCCCGGAGTTGCGTCCCTGGGACAGGCGAGGGAGGAAGGGGGGCGATTTGGGTTTAGGGGCCAGACCCACCGGGGAGGCTCCAGCGCTGCCCCTGATGTACCCTCTCCTGTCCCCATCCGGCAGCTCCGGCCTCGAGGACCCAGTCGCCCTCTCCACGTCCCGGGGCCCGGCCTCGCTGCCCAGCAGCGGCCTCTAGTTGCGTCTCCCAGACACCTGGGCCTGGGGGAGGGCTGGGGTCGCCATGTGCTTTGTTCTTAGCGCCTCTCTGCCCTCCTCCAACTAGGACCCAAAGCCTTTGGCTTCTCCAACTCCAATCCTTGGCGCTTTTGCTCCAAGCAGCCCGGTCAGAGGCGCCCTCTATCCCTAGAGAAGGCGCATTGGGCGGGTTCCCTTCCCCCAGGGCACGTTACTAAGGGGGATAGGCACTGCATGCTCGTTCCAGCGCCCTCTGGGTTCAGTACCTCCAGCCCCAGGGCCCTGACATTTGCACCTAGTTAGACATCCTGCCCACCTCCCAGACAGAGCTGGGGCTACTGGGTACTCCTGACCTCACCACCTCCTTCCGTTTGAGCCCAAGGCAGAGAGCTGGAGCTGCTGCCATCTATAGCCTGGGTCAGGTGTGGCTGGAGGTAGGTCTGGACGTCTGCCTGTTAGGCCAAGCCCTCTGAGATTTGGTGAGGGGGCCAGATAGACTCTTCAGAAAGTTGGATGTATTAAGACACCAGCCCCGGCCCCCACCTGAACCCCTGCATCTTCCTAAACACCGTCCTCTGAGAACCACAGCTGGGCCTAGGCTTCTGGGTGTTCTGAACATCCTAGGCTAAGTGGTGGGCTGGGCAGAAGAGGAAGGGGTCTGTATCAACACCAATTAGGGAACCAAAGTTGCACTATCTGGGCCCAGAATGTCCGGTTGGCAAGAGCAAAGTTTCCGTTGAGGAAGACAAACATCCCACAACAAAACCCAACTTTTCTGTGCTACATGTGCAATATTTGTTATGAATGTTCTCACAAGTCATTCATCAAATTATCTTTATAATCATTGTAGCTAGATGTTTCATGTCCATTCAAGTGACTTTTATTCTGAGTGCAATATTTCAATAGCCTTGTAGTGATAACTAGTGTTGCTTTTGTTTTAGACGATCTATGTGCAGGGCAATGCAATGAAGTTGAAAACCCTTGTAAATAGGAGAGGTTGCAAACCAAATCAAGATTATTTATTACTATTATTAGGCCTGCCTTTAATTTTCAGTGTGTTTCAGTATTCCGCATTCTGCCTCAGTATTGATCTTGTGTTCTTTGTGCCAATACGGAAAGGAGCGCGTTGGTTCTTTCCTTTATTGTTGAATGCTCCCATTTAATGCTTTACAGCTTTTACTGTATTTTTTAGACTCCCGTCTGCACAAAATGCAATAAAAATAATTTTATTATACCCTTCACAGCCTGAGGCGTGCTGTTTGGACACCCAAGGGGGAAGAGTGAGTAGGTGGGAAGAGGGGCACTCAAGGTGGCTCTTTGGGAGCCTGGCGTCATCAAACCCTGTCACTGGCAGAAGGGGGCTGGGCTGGTCTTCCAGGTCTGGTGGCCTGGTCTGTGTTCTGATGGCTGTGGGGCCCTGTCCTGGAGAGCTCTGCCAACATCCCTTGAAGGCAAGCACTAGGCAGGTCGGGCTCAGTGCTAACCCCAGGCCACGGAGGCCTAGTGCCGGTCACTTCACCACACCTGCCCCAGGGTGTCCCGGTGGGGCTACTGAATGCCCTTCCAGGCTCCCACGGCCTCTAGGACTCTAGAGTTCTGCCAACTCCTCACATATAATGGACAGAACAGAGGGTGGCAACTGAACGGAATCAAAACAGGAGGGTGCCCTGCTCCACTGGCCAGCAAGGGCCTCCTCAGGGGCCTGTTTTCCTTTCCTAGAGTTGAGGACAAGCCTGCTGCCACACAAACACGGATGTTTAACACCACATCATCATTAGCCAATAGGCTGTAGCTCTGGAATGTTATTAAAGCTTTTAAGTAGGTGGGATGCGTGAGGACAGCCCAGGCTTAGGAGGTCTTCAGGCCTGACCATGGGAGGAGGACGAGAGGGGCAGACCTCACGCCAGACCAAAAGCGGTCAGGGCTCTATCAGGGACCCTCACCTTCTGACCTTGGGAGGGAATGCTCCTGCAGACAGAAGGCCCCAAAAAGACAACACAGGTTTTACTTTTTCATTTTAATTAAAAAGTAATCATCTCATCTTATTAACAACACAGAATTCCAAAGAGGAAAAAACCCACTCTGTAACACAAACATGTCAGAACATAAAACGCTGCCACCTGGGGACCTTGAATTTTTGCAATCATTTGTTTACTCAGCCATTGGCAGGGACTCCGCTGAAGTCACTGCTCTCCCTTGTCCCGCCAGAGGCCCCTCGAGACTGTGATCCACAGGGCTCTAATGAGCACCTCCCTGGGGAGACGGCAGCTCGCTTTGGCTCCATTTAGAGCAGCAGCCTGAAGTCCTCCCTCTTAATAATTTCACTCTGGCTCAAAAGTTAGGAACAGCCACCTGTATTAAGGACATGTCCAGCTACCAAAAGTCTGACATCAAAATGGTCCCTACTTCCTGCTGCTCAGAAAACAGAACAAGAATCCAAATGAAAATAAGAACCTGATTTCTGAGCCAAAAGCTCGAAACAATCACTGGGGGGGGAGGGGGGGAGGAAAAAAAAAAGGGTGTTCCCTGCCAGAGTCTAGAGCTGCCTTCTCAGAACCTCCATGAAACTAGCACTGGAGAGGGAGAGGCTGACAGAAATGTTAAGGGGTGAGAGTGGTCAGTTCTTGTTGAACTGCTGGTGATGGGAGCTGTTCAGCTCACTGGAGATCCTCCAATGAAATGAAGAAAAAAAGAGAAAAAAAGAAAAACAAAACAAAACAAAACAGGAACAAACCCTAAACCCACAACCCTGGATGATGTAGAAAAGCGCCTGCTTCTGTGGCTGCCACGGACACTTCTCGACAACTCCAGGGTAGCTGGTCAGTGAGTCCTCAAGCAGACATGCGGGGCGGGGGCGCGACGGCGGCGCTGTGCTGGCCAAGCCCAGGCGGGTCTCTGCAACCTGGGGCAGGGGCTGCGGACCGGAGCTTGAGATCTGGCCGGCCTGCGCAAAGCTGGAAAACCTTGGCAGATTCAAAATGAACAAAGGCGGTGGCGAGTGACATGAAAGCGCCATTCCAAACTCAGCCGCTCGGGCTCAGCTTCCTCCTGCCACCTCCCACAGCCGCAGCCTCCGAATCCGTGAACAGAGAGACCAGAGAAACCCATGACATATAAACTGAGCCCAGACACCTATACTGCCCAAGTGACCCCAGAGATATTTATTTTCTACAAAACAAAAAACAAAAACAACAAAAGAAGATACACCCCCAAATGCAGTATAAACTCTGACTCTGGAAGGAATAAGCAACACAGCCTCGGGCAGAAGTGAGAGCAGGTGGTAGAAACATTCGATGTAGACCTGGAGAGGCGCAGAAAACATCCTCCAAATAACTCTATTTGCACGCAGTAGGTGGGAGGCCAGGGGATGAAGGGACCGGGGGTAGTTGAGAGACTGAGCCTCAGTAATGCCTCTGGTAAGATCCCATCGGGGCCGGGGGTCGCCCCACCTGTGCTGCGGTTTGGCTAACCAGGTGGGAGAGAGCAGGGCCACTCTGGATCAGGGTGTCCAGAGCCTTCTGTACACTTGGATTGTCAAAGTTGATACCTGTGGAAGACACGGGCCTCTGGCTAGCCATGTTGCTGACAGGTGCCAGGCGACTGGAAGGTTGGCCAAAGAGCCCTTGGGAAGGAGCCCCAGGCCTGGGGCCCATGTTCCGAGCAGATCCTGCCTGTCCCAAAATGTTCGGAGGCTGATTGCCAGAGGCCTGTGACCTTTGCTGAGGCTGGCTGTTCACTCCTGTGGAAAAATTCTGGTTCTGGGTGTTTCCGGCAACAACTGAGGGGGA